AGTAACATATAATATACATATAAATATATATGGTATACGTGCATCTACCCCATACAAATATAACATAGGGAAAGTAAAGCATCTCTTTTCTGACAATACTTTCTACGCAATTCAACATATCAAATAAACCTAATTTTTTTTAATATCTCTTTTTGCAGGTGAAAGAAAAATTCTTTTGAGATTTCCCAGAGGGCTTCTGGGAAATATAAAAGTCAGTCCTAGATCAAGATTTTACTTAGAATGTGAAGTAGGCACTAGCAAATTGTCTGTCACATACCAGTATTATCTAGCAGACTAGCAAATTCTACGAATATATCATTTCATGTTTTATTGGTACATATTGTTTCATAGTATAGTTCTTCGTGTGGCAAAAAAAAAAAAGCTATTAACATGCCCAAACATATGTAGCCTCTCTGTACTATATAAAAATAAGTAGTCAAGAGTATATAAACTTATGCTTAGTAATTAATGTTACAGTAATTTATTTAGCAATCGTCTAGTAATGAATATCTGTTGCTTAATTTAACCTGACATAGGTCTAAGGTTGCAAATTACAAAAATTTTGGAAACTATTTTTAGTCAGATATTATAAAACATAATTATTATTGAAGTGTCCATTTATAAAACTTTTATCTCACATTAAACTAATGCACATGTTCTTAACATATAGTATCCTTGGGTTGTTGATCAAAATTTCAAAATACACTAGACAAAGATAGCTATTACCTCAAATTATTTTCCTGTTAACTATTTTTACAACGTATCCATTTTAGGCAAGTATCTAAACAAAAAAAATCACAAAAATCAAAAAACCTAGGAAAAAAGTTAAATACAAAATGTATAATTGTATTATACTCAATGCTGATGACTCAAAAGATACAGCTGGTTTTATTAAACCAACAATATTAAATTATTCTTACTTTCAAATGGTTTACCTAAATCACGTGAACTTGAAAAACATTTGGATTGGCTTCTATATTTCTGATATTTTAAGGAATATTTAATTTAAGCCAATTTGAATAGAGGTCTTATAAAAGATTTTATAAATTAATTTGGTAATGCTATCCAGAGGTAGGAAAATATCACATATGCATACATACATGCACATATAAACATACAGACATAGACAAATAAAGACCATTTCACCTTTTATTCTGAAATTTTAGCCATGAGTTATGTAAACACAGTAAAACAAAGCTCACTGGCCTACATCTGTATCATCATTGGCTCTCGTCATTGCCCCACTTCCTGTTTCTATCTGAATTGCATTTTGACAGATGGGACAAGTTAAGGTTACCTGCTCAACGTGAAAGCTAAAGCTTTTTACAAATATTTGTGGAGGAGACTTTTAAGATTTTCTTTTGCCCTGATATGTAGTTGTCTAGCAGGGATCCCTGAATACCTTGAGACCCGCAGTCAGGACAGGGGTCTAAAGTTCCCATGACTGTAGAGAGTTGAGGGGCTGGAGTGTCGGTGGTGGGCAGAGAGATGGAAAAGGGGACATGCTGAAGGATCCAGGGAGCTGAAGGGAAGATGAAGGTGGTAAGAGGAGGAGAAAGGAGCAAAAGCAGTGGGAAAGGACAGGCCTTTGAGGGGCCAGCTATAAGTCATTGAAGTTCTAGGTTATTCTGAGTAAATCATGCCAGCAAGAAAGGAAGCAGACAGAGTTAGTGCCATTATTGTGGGGTGTATAGTCAGCTGGGCTTCCAGAAGAGGGTTTTCAGTCCACTGAGAAGCTCCCACGTTATTAACTAATGACTTCTCCTGACAAAGACACCTAGAACTCTAACCCAGCCCTGGTTTGCCTGAGTCTCTAACCCAGATTATTCTAGAGTAGAAGCCTCCCCAAAGAACCAGGAATGCCTCCTCTCAAGGGTCAGAGAGTGATTCTGTACTGAAAAAGAGCCAAGAAGACATCCATCCAGGAAGATTCTTTCTCAATAAGTACCTTTCAACCTAAGAACGCTGGTACTGTAACCCAGCCTCAGTGAGCACACTCAGAACCTTCCGAGTCAAAATGTGTCTTTCAGTGGACTACCATCTGGAGCACTGGGTTGCATCAGGAGTAGAACTCACCCACGGACTTCCCAGCCCCTCAGTTGGAGTGAAGACAAAGCCTTCAAAGACACACACTCGGAGTCCTGAGTGAGAGGTTGAGGATGCAGTCATAAATCTGAGGCTGCCCAAGCCACAGCACAATAACTTTTTTTTTCTATGTCAGAGCACGGTAAATATTAAAGACAAAATTGGCCTGGTGCGGTGTATTTTGGGAGGCTGAGGCAGGCAAATGGCTTGAGCTCAGGAGTTTGCAACCAACCTGGGTAACTTAACAAAACCTGTCTCTACAAAAAAATACAAAAATTAGCCAGGTGTGCACCTGTAGCCCCAGCTACTTGGAAGGCCGAGGTGGGAGGATTATTTGAGCCTGGGAGGTTGAGGCTGCAGTGAACCCTGTTTGTGCCACTGTACTCCAGCCTGGGTGACAAAGCGAGGCCCTGTCTCAAAAAAAAAAAAAAAAAAAAAAAAAAGTTATTCATGTAACTTGTTAAGATGGTAAAGAAAAGTTTTTTTTTTTTTTTTCTTTTCTGAAAAGGTATCTCTCTCTGCTGCCCTGGCTGGAGTGCATTGGAGCAATCTTGGCTCACTGCAACCTCTGCCTCCCAGCTTCAAGCAATTCTCCTGCCTCAGCCTCCCGGGTAGCTGAGATTACAGGAATGCACTAACATATCCAGCTAATTTTTGTATTTTTAGTAGAGACAGGGATTTCACCATGTTGGCCAGGCTGGTCTCGAACTCATGACCTGAAGTGATCCGCCCACCTCAGCCTTCTAAATGCTGAGATTACAGGCGTGAGCCACTGCTCCTGGTCTTTAGACTTTATTCAGGACTATTGCAGTAGGGGTACTCCCACTTGTCCTTGTGATATTCGGAGTTGAGCCAGATTGCAATCAGGGAGAGGGATCGGGTTCAACACCAAATACAAGGACAACTATCGATTTATAGCCAAGGTGCAGAGGGTGGTGAATGGATGGAAAATTACCAAGAGGAGACATCAAAGGTAGGGGGATCCTCGCTGAACTGACTTAACAGGATTCTTGCTGAAGGTAGGCCAGCAGGTCAAGATGATTAGATATCAAGGGATGGGGGATTCTCGCTAACCTGACTTAGCAGCATTTTTGTTAAAACTGGACTAGGCAGGCCAAACATGAGCCCAAGGACAAGAGCTAAGAAAAGGGGGCTCAGAGGAACCTGTCTCCTGTTTGTTGAAAGAGAGAGTCTTTGTCAGCTCTTAGGGAGTATTTGTTATGCCAAAGAGCCCCAATTAACTGGTTTGATAATGGGGCTCTCACAGATTCATGGACCAGGAAGGGAAGGACAGGCCAATTTTCACCGTTTACCAAAGGGAATGTAGGTTGCAGTTAGAGTTTGCAGCTGGTGTAGCCAGACCTCAGCTCTTGGGGCTGCCTAGACCCTCAGGGATCCTGGCTTACACATAGTAAGTGCTAATTTAATATAAGGCAGGTGAATTAGTGGTTTGTACTAGGATGAAGTTCTTTGTTCATTTTTTTCTTAGTTTTCTGTGCATAAATGTTCTCTTAAAAACAGAAAGTGTCTTTAGAAGCACAGAGTTAAATCTTCCCCCTGCTTTGGAGGTAAGTGCAGGTGACCCTGCTGGAGGAAGAGAGCTGGTGTCGAGAGCAATTCCCCTGGGAGGCAGGCAGCCAAGGTTCCACTGCAGCAGCTCCACCTGTGCTCCCACAGTGTGACCTCGGCCAAGTCACCTCCCCACCCTCAACCCCACTTCCTGACTGTAGATGGAAGCTATAACGCTGCTCCTGGCCCCTGAGGGTGGGAAGCAAATGAGGTGAGAGGTTGCTGGACATGGAAAAGTGGTTTGCCTAAGGATGGAGCTGAATGATCTGGACTCACCCACCTGAGTTCATGGTAGATGTTTATCTGTTTATTATCTTTCCCCTACTAGAAGAAGGTCAGCTCCATGAGTGTAGAGGCCACGTGGATTGTTCACCACTTTATAGCCAAAGCCCGGAGTCGTGTGGGGCACTATCATCGGCACTTATCGGCAGTTTGCCAGACTCCATCAGTCTCCTCCACTTCTTCAAGAACATAATGGTGATCCAGAGAAAGGGAGTCCTTTGGCCTTACCGGCCGTTGGCTGCCCCTGTCCTGCAGGGGCTGGAAGGCAAGGGCAAGGAGCTGTGGCCCCAGAGGGAGGACTGGGTGCCGGCAGAGCCTGCCTCCCATTAGGAGTGCGGGAGACCTTCAGTATCCTTCAATTCTGTAATTCTGTGCTGGAACACAGAGTAGGCAGTACATACCTGTGAAAGGAAGGAAGGGAGAGAGGAGCAAAAGGAGGAAGGGAGAAGGAAGGTGAACAGGAAGGAAGGGTCAGGAAGGGAGAGAGGGAGGAGGGAAGGAAGGAAGGAGGAAGGAAGGCAAGAGGGAATCTGTCTCCCCTAGCTAGCGGTACCACCCCCTTTCCTGCCACTACCCCACCTTGGCCAAGTTCTGACCAAGCCCCCCTCCTCCCCAGACTCAGCTGGGCTCTGGGATCCGTGGTGACAGGCCCAGCCACCCCCCACTCCTCCCCACAAGCCCTTCCCTCCTCTCACAATGGGTGCCTGATGGTGTCACCTGATACAATCTGGGAGGAGGGTGAGGCCCTGGCAGCCCTGGGGCCCTCAGACTGTGAGCAGAGGGCTGGGACCCTGCAGAGCCAACTGTGCAGCCAGCCAGGCTGGGAGCCCTGCCCTGTGCCCCAGCCTTGCAGGGTACTTTCCCGCAGAGAGAACAACCCAGCACCCTGTACTTGGCCCACACCTCCCCCTCGGAGGCTCCTGAGGGCCCTGGACAAGCACCAGCTGGTCTCCCGGCACACCTAATGGGAGGCAGGCTCTGCCGGCACCCAGTCCTCCGTCTGGGGCCATAGCTCCTTGCCCTTGCCTTCCAGCCCTTGCAGGACAGGGCAGGCAACAGCCGGTAAGGTCAAAGGACTCCATTTCTCGGGATCACCATTATGTTCTTAAAGAAGTGGAAGAGTTTGATGGAGTTTGACAAACTGCCTGTAGGTTCCAAATGGCTGGGTCAACCCCAAAACACAGTGACAGAAACACATGTAGCCTTGGCAACTATCAGATTTGGGTAAATTCAGTGACAAAGTGTAGTCTAGCTTCAATTCGTTGCTCCCTGACTGTTCTCGATGCTAAACAGCAATGCATTGTTATTTCAAATTGGCATGTAATGCCTTTCAATGAAACCTGATCCGTGGATGAAAGTGACAGAGCCATGTCATGACAATCCACAGGTGCTAATACAGACAGTGGACTTCGTAACAGTAAGGTCTTGGCCTGTCATCAGACAGGAAGCCAGAGGGGCCACCAAGGAAGAGGCTTGTCATGCGCCCCTCCCTTGAGCTGGTTGCATTTTCTTTCAGTTTTCCTCAAAATTTAATTAAGCATCTGTTGAGCATCCAAGAAGTAAAAGGAGGAATGACAGGTGGAGCCTGTGTTAAATGCAGTATGAAATGTTTACTCCAGCAAGAGACAGATAGAAAGACTGACCCACTGCCCACGCCACCATGATGCCATAAATATTAGCCTAACTGGTGTAATGAGATTATGGGTTACTTCCCCCCCTGGTTCACAGGTTTTCTCTAAAAGGGAAGGATTTCATCAAGACAAGATCCAGTCCTTCTGTTTCCCAGATCTAGGATTCTCTCAATAAATACCTGTTCCACCTATGACGTACCAGGCACAATACAGTAAGAAAAGATGCATGGGTACTTGCCCTCGAGTAGCCTACATTCTAGTGGGAGGGATGGTTGAATAATAGAATCAATGCAAGCATGAATGCTTTGATCAAGGGTATGAAATAGATAATGGGGCACGAGGTCCTAGTTTATCTATGTGGTCAGGAAAAGCCTCTCTGAGGTGACATTCCTGCAAGACCCAAAGTTGGGGGAATTTCAGACTGGGGAATTTACACAAGGCAGGTCCCAGGAAGAAGGAAGGAGGGGTGCCTGTCTGTGATTGGAGTATGGGGTGTGGGGAGTTTGGAGGGAGAAGGGCCTTGTGGGCCATGGTGAACAGTCTAAAGTGCATGTAAGTGCCCTATGACAGGACGACATGCCTGTTCTAAGTGGATTGCTTTGGCAGTTGTGTGGCGTTGGGCTTCAGGAACAGGACAGGAATGGGGCAGAGAGACCAGTTAGGAGGTGGCTGCAGAAGTCCAGGGGAGGGGGGATAGAAACTCCACCAAGGGCAGCAGTGGCGGAGGTGGCAGGAAGAGGGCAGATTCGAGATCTATTTTGGAGACAGACTGGCTGATGGATGGTTTGGCTGGGGGCGAGGGTGGGGGCCAGGAAGGAGAGGGAGGCAGCAAGGGTGGTGCTGAGTTTCCGGCTTGAGTACCACACTTTCCCATGTCTGTGCATCCTCTAGAAAGACTTGCTTCAGCACTGTACCAAAGTCCAACCTCCATCTCAGCCTCCTCCTGCCTAACAGTATCCTCTCCGGTCCAGGAAGAGTCATTACCCTGCTTGTTCAGATAGAAAAACTGAGGCAAGCATCAGCAAAGCACACTGCCCCTTAGGCAACCAATTGTATGAACCAAAGAGCCAGAGCTTGAACCGCAGGGCTGCCTTGGGTCGCCAGAGTCGCAAAGATGGAGGGTGATGTCCAGTTTTATGATCTGTCATGTGGTGTGACCTTAAACAAGTTGTAAAACCCCTCTGAGCCCCAGTTTCCTTATCAGTAAGATGGAGGAAATAACAAGCTCTGCCTCACAGTGTGGCTGTCAGAATGAAGTGAGGGCACAGGCCCTCCACAGATATTAGTACTGCTCTGCAGATCACAGAGCTCACACACGCGTCTGCTCTTTATGCACGTGTGTGCACACACTGTATCTGTGTGTGCTTGTGGGCACAAAGCTGTTTGTGTGCCGACATCACAGCCACAGCCAATGACTAGTCCCTGCGGAGGTTTCAGGTTAAGACAGTAGCGTGTTTGCTTACATGCTTCTGTTTAGCCTCCTGAGCCATGCTTGCTGGTTGAAGTAGAAGCTTTTGTCCTCACTGGAACATGAGTGAGTTGTCGAGTTTGGAGCCAGCTGTGAAAGGCAGGTGGGGGCTGAGAAGGCTAGGGCTGGAGGAAGGGAGCTGAGGAGGAAGAGGAGGAGGAGGCCAAAGAGGGCCTAGGATGGAACCAGGGCCCAAAAGGAAATGCACACTCAGATCTGGAGTCTGGTGCACCCAGAGCCCCTTCTGTGGGTGGCTATAGGAGCCTCTCCCAGCCCCCTCTCCACACCCGCTTCACTGAGACTGCTTTATGTTCCTGTTCCCAGGAGGCAGCTGGCACCGAGGGAGGCTGGAGGGGTGGTGGGGCGGGGCTCCCCACTTTGTGCCCAGAGCCATTCGAAGGGTGTGTCCCAGCAGGGCACACACACAGTGATTAGGGGGAGGGAGGAGTGGCATTCACCGTCCACTGCATGACCCAGCCGGTGGGCTGGACAGCAGCCAGCTCTCCCCAGGCTCTTGGCTGCAATATCACTGGCCCTGGCACCACCCATAGCCTACCTGGACACTCCTTCCAGTCCAGAGGCTGGAGCCCTTCTCAGAGGAGCCGCCTGGGGGCAGGCTGGGTTGGGCACCTCAACTCTGTGCACCCCTCCCTCCAGCTCCCTCCCACACCCCGCTCCAGCTGGGTTTGAAAAGGTGCTCCCATCCTTCCTCCTCTCCAAAGCAGGCCCTGCCCTGTACTCTTTCGGCCAGAAGCTGCACCCATAAACTGGCTCTACCCCATAGACCCCCACCTGTTGTCTTACCAATGAGAGAACCCTCCTAACCAGGCCAGCTGCTGGCTTTCCCCAGGGACTCCCCCTCCTGCCTCCACTTCCCCACCTGACACTGCATCCTCTCCTGCTCCCTGCAGGACCTTCCAGGCCTGCCCAGCCCCACGCCTCCTGGAGCCCTGTCCCTGTGAGCCTGGCTTACTAACTGCTCTGCAGAAGCACTGCCCTTTCCTTGTGGACCCACAGGGTGCTGGATGCACCTTGCCCCACTGTCCAGTACGCCTGAGCTTTATCTCCCTGACAAGACGAGAGGCTCTGAGATTGGCACTCCACGGCACCCACCCCACTCCACCCAGGCTGTTGAGGCAAATCCTTTATGGGCACACCGCAAACACTTCTGGATTCATACTGATTCCATCCAGGTCATGTGTTGGCACCTTTACCTCCTGGGTCTGTGAGTGTAGTGTGGAGTTATGCTTCATTGGATATTTAACTAGTACCTTTGTGGACAAAGGGATTTGACTTCTCCATCTTTGGCTTGGGTGTTCTGGGAGTACCTGGTTTTTGATAAAAAGCTATGGAGTCATCGGTCTTGGAAACTGTCCACCTGCTCTGATGAAGCACTCTCATTTCTTCCCTTCAGCACCCAATTCCCTGACCTAGCAGCTTCTCCCCACCACATCCTGGCCACCCAGCCTCTCTCTACCCCCACGCAGCAGTCCACTGCCCTCTTTCCACAGCATGGAGGGTCTGACGCACTCATTCTAATCCACTGTGGAAACACCTGCTGCCCTGCCCGCAGCAGAAGGTATTTACAGTTTAAAGGGAACCACAGAGAGATCTGACCCTTCCTGCCTTCCTGAAGCAAGTTTGCCTGCCTGTCTGGGGCAGGCTCCCTGCAGGTCATTCCTCAAGAAGAAATGAATCATTAACATTGGGATTTCAGGCAAGGGGCGCCTGTTGGAGGAAATGGTTTTGCCTGAACCATCTTTCTGGGGCTCTGCAAATCACAGCCTCATCACTGGGCCTTCACGGCCAATGTACCTTTGAGATTTATTTCTGGTTTTAGGTTGCTTTAAAGCTCATGGCCTGCCCTGGGAAGAGTGGCAGAGGCCACGGAAGGCCAAGCACCTCACTGGACTCCTTGGTTTTGTGCTTGTTCCCCATGGCACTGGGGGAAGGTGGTCAGCAGGAAAGATCCACTCCCCTGGCTCTTCCCCCATTTCTGAGAACAGCCAGCAGAGAGTTATCAAGGCATTAATGGTTATTTCCCCCAGGTGACCAGACAGTTCCAGGGGGAAAGAGGCCTGACAGCTCCCAGCTGGCCAGAACCTCCCAGGTGGCAGTTTTCAAAAAGGCCATGGTGTGTGGCTTGAAGGAAAGGCCTGGGAGAGGGTGTTTAGCCACACCTGTGATTGGTGACGGGACCACCCTAATGCAGACTGCTGGAACCTCCAGTTGGCATTTCTGAGTCAGCCTGCCTGATATGTGTATTTGAGGGGAAGGGGTGTTGGTAGGTCCCACCCACAAGGTCTCATGACCCCCAGCGGAGGAGGGAGCTGCAGTTCTGTGTTTGCTTCCTGCACTCCCTCTTTTGCTGTTACTTGAAGGATTGCTCTGCAGTGTTTGATTTGGTTAAGTTACACTCACGACCCTGTAAGGAGAAAACATATAATTCTAGTAATTTTATTGGGCTTAGGTTTCAGGCAAATGGAAATAAAATTGCCTCTAAAAAGACAGACAAGCTGAATTGAATAAAACAACAACAATAATAATAAAAAGCCTCTCTTGCTTCGAGATAAGTGATAAGTCATTTTGTGAAGTACTAGAAAGAGGGGGGAAAACCTCACAAAAACAAAAAACAAAACAACAAAACAAAAAAACGGAGGAACCCAGGAGAAAAGAAAAGCTCCTCCGCCGCCTTTGCCTTTATTTCTGCTTTATCTTCTCCAAATTGCTTAATTTGGTGTCATAAAGTGAAGCGTAACGCGCGACTGGTGAGATCGCCCTGTCCTGCGCTTGACAGTACAGGTGGACCAAAGGGGCTGCCGGCCAAATACTTCTGGTTGGAGGGAGGGGTGGGAGTGCTCGCTCAAAACCACTCCTGGAATGGCTTAACTCGCCCAGCACGAATCAATGACAACCTCCCGCCGGCTGCGGCAGGCTCCCCCGAGCAGCGCGGCCGCGTGGATTCCCAGCCCGGGACCCTGGCGGCGCTCAGGACACGGCCCGGGCACGAACGTGGCGTCCCCCAGGCGGCCAGGTGGGTCTGCGGCGGCCTCGGTCCCCCTCGGGGCTGGGATCCCGGCTGTGGGGAGCCCAGCGGCCGGGCTGTGGGGAGGGGGTGGGGAGGAAGCCCTTCCGGGAGAGCTCCGCGGGCGCTGCGGGCATTCTCGCTCCGCGCCTCGGGGACCCTGTGGCCGGGTAGCGCTTCGGGGGCCGCGGGGCGGCTCCAGCTGGCTCTCGCTGGCGCGGGTGGCGGCGTCCGCAAGGCGTTCAATCCCTCGCCTCGCGGGAGCTCTTGCGGGGCGTGGGGCCATGCACCTCCTCCGAAATAGGAGCGAGGATCTGGAACTCTGCAGAGAGCAACTCTCGCAGCTGCCCCATCGCCGCCGGCACTCGCCGGCGGGCTCCTTTGGGGCAAGGGGCCCGCGGAAGGAACGTCAGGCCACTCCGAGAGGGAGTTGCGGATGCACATTGGTAGTTTAAATTGTCTCCCCCAAGAATGCTTGGTGTCCCGGAGCGTCAGATGCAAAACTTGGGAGCGAGGGGGGGGTGGGGACAAAAGCCTTGGCAACTTGGCAAAAGTCGAGGTCCGGAGATACGCGCAGAAATTAAAGGAGCGGTTGGCACAAGTCCAGCTAGGCGCGCAGCGGGAGTCTCGTCAGGTCCTTGGGCTCAGATCGCTGGCTGAGCCGGGTGGGTGGGGGGCCCTTCCCTGGGCGCCAACCTGGGGGTGAGTGTATGGGAGCACTCCCACCTGGGCGGACAAGTCAGGCTGTAGTCTCCAGGCTCCGGAGGCCGCCCGGTGTGGGTGGCGCAAAAGGACTGACCCCGTGCGTCCCCACTCCGGCGGGCTCCCGGGACCGCGTCACCCTCTGGAGCGCCTGGGTCGCTGCAGGCGGAAGCAGGGACCGCGGGGCTGGCCGGGAAGGAGGATGGAGAGAGCTTCCCCCAGCCCCGCACTCGCGGCCCCCGCCGCACACCCCGCATGGAGCATCAAGCGTGGGGTGCACTACTCCATGCTCTGTGGTGAGGGCTCTGGGGTCGTTCCATTCTGTTCCTGGCTTCTGTTGTACGGGCTGTGTCTGTGCGGGCAGGCGGGTGGGCAAGGTGGCTGCCTTCTTTCTTTTAATAGCTGGCACCCAGCTCTGCGCAGAAGGAAGCCCCACGCCAGCGACTTATTGGTCAGCTAGGGGCAGACCACTTCCAATCTCTCTAAATGCGGGATTTTGAAAATGGAAAGGAAGAGATTGAAACAATCGGGCAGTTTTCTCCAGATGAGGGAGAAGATTTTTTGGAAGGGGGAGGAGCGCACTGGCTTGAAGGTGGGAAAGGCTGTGCCAGGTTCAAGTTTCAGCTCCACTCCCTCCGACCCCCTGCTTTCACCTTTCTCTGGGCTTAGAAAGGCTCAGGAACCCCAGCTGGGTGAAACTCCAGGAAATAAAAGTAGCCCCAATGCCGTCCTCACCAGTTAAGGCACAACCTGGGCTGCATAGAAAAAGAACCCACTCTCCGCGAAAAGACTCATATTAGGTCACATCAGATATGAATCATTAGCCCCACTTTGTAGATGAGGAAACAGGCTCAAGTGGGTTAAGTACATTGTCCAGATAGTAGCAGCGGCAGGATTCAAAGCCACTCATCGTACCCCACATCTTTTAGAATCTTACACTTTAACTGGGGAGACAGGAAGAGCCTTGGTGTAATTATAGTACAACAGAAAATAGTATGTATTACAGTTAATATTAACTTTTTTGAATGTCCTTTTCTTCCCAGTCAGTCATTTATTCAATGACAATTTTATTCATTCATTCACCACAACGCTGTTGTATTGTTTACTGCATGTGTCCAGGTACCATGCTAAGTGCTAGGCATACATCAGCAAGTGAAATTAGAACAGATCTCTGGCTTCTATGAATGGGGATAGTAATAGTATAGTAACAGTGCAACCCTCAAAGGGTTGGATGAAGTGAGATGGAACCTGGGAAGCATTACTGTTGAGAAGCAGCAGCAGGAGGCCTAGATGAAGAGGAGGGGAGGGAGAAGGAAGGAGAGGAAGGAGCAGAGAAGTTAGAATGACCAGAGTCTCCACACTCCACCAGGGACTTGTGCCTGGTTCACGGGGATGCAGTCAAGTGCACACAGCACAGTCAGCCTCTGCCTCAAGTGCCCAGGAAGCTGTTTGAGCCCCTGCTGTTCAGATTCTCCATTTAGGGGTTACAACCGTGGGTTTTGAAGAGTCTGCAGTTTTGGCACATGCTAGTTGGAGATGACAAGAAGAGGCCTGAACAGTCTCTGAGAGGACTAGCATCTCTCTGAGTCAGTGCTGGCCAGGCTGAGAACGGTCCCACGGTGTCACCCTTCTGATGCATCTGCCGACTTCCTCAGTGGTCAGGATGGCATTTTCATAGGACTCAAGTTTAGCTTCAAGTGCCTGCCCTTGCCCTTGGGGAAGGAAGCTTGTCTACACTCACAGGACTTGTTGGTAGCAAAGCCAAGACTAGACCCCAAGTCTCTAGACCATACATGGTTGTCAGAGCAGCTCACCTTGGCCTTCCAGGGTGGTTTTAGGACTCAATTGAAAGACCCTTCTCCATCCACTTACCTCTCCACTTACAATGCCATGTCCTGAGAATCCTGTCCTTCTTTCTTTTAGCTGACCGGACATGTCTGTTCTAATAGAATGGTGTTGGATGGATGTGTGAGACAGAGCAGCCATAAATATTCTGGGACGTTTGACTTGTTAACTTTCCTTCCATCCTGAGTGGTGTAATAGGTGTAAGATAACTACCTTTAAAATTAACCATCACTTTTGTGAGGAAGGTGAACTGATAAATCTTGCCTTGAAGCTATTACCCACCTGAGTGATGCTCTGGGACTTTCCTTCCCCAGAATTGTTACTAACTCTTGCTAGAATGATAGTTTTGTTCTTCTTCCTTTTCTAAAAAAAAATTCTGGGTTTGAGGTCACAAGATCATATTGCATACTACCTTGATGTCATGCTGCCAGAATAAAGGCATTTTCCCCTAATATTGAGATTATCAGCTTGATAAGGGCAGTGAGCACCCGGCTGGCTGTCCTGGTGTTTACAGCAATTACACAGGTGTATAATTGCATGGGGATGTTTGTTTGCTCAGCCCTTGCTCAGCCGGGCAGCACTACAGGTTGGGCCAGGGAGAGAGCTGTTCAGTTTATTTTCCTTTGGCTGGGAACTGTGGAGATGAATAGAGGGAGGGGAATCGGGTTGAGAGATTGTTGCCAAGAGCAATTTGGAGTCTCCTTCATATTAGTCAGAGATTGTGTTTTTCCTTTCTAAAGCCGCCTGTTTCATAGTAACTTCCATGGAGGATTTCATTTCCATCGTGTGTGTGTGTGCGTGTGTGTGTGTACACGCTTGTTAATTTTTGTTTTGATTTTTAACTTGCACTTCTCATGACTTAGCAAGAAAAAAGAAATGGCGTGAGGAATGGGTGATGAAACAGGCCCCTTATATCATGCATTCTGCATGTCCTTGCTTAATAAATTTGAATGCTGATAGACCCTGAGGTACCAGGATAGAGTAAAATAAGTAATTCCTTTGAAGGGAGAGTTTATCTTCAGTGGGTGACTTTCAGAATTGCAGCATGATTTCACTTTCCCGCTGTACATTTTGATCCTGTGTTTAGATAAATAGGAATGCTTTCTCTCTTCTGTCATTTTCCCTTTTGTTCCATTTGGAAGGCCCCCTCCATCTGAGCCTTGCTTGGAAGGGGATCAGCTAGAGTGGGCCTCCTTCCACCTCATTCTCACCCATGCACCTCCCTCCTCCATGCTGGAGGCCAGCTAGTGAGAAGGAGGTTTCCCCTGTGGGGTAAGAGCTATCCCCCAATGGTGGCTTGGCTTGTGTGTGCATGGAACACAGAACAGGAAAGCTTGCATGACCACAGGCTGCCCCTCCTAGGGCAGGAACCCTGGAGCAAGCTGTAATTCATCTGTCAGCAACTGAGTCCATCCACTGAACAAATTGAGTGGAGTAACTCCGAGACTCCAAACTTGAAAAATTACCTAATAATATGGTACACGATCTATGTCGGGTTTTTCAAATTAGATGCAAACCAGATGCAAATGTACACGTGACCCTTCTGAATAATATGATATAACTGGACTTGGTCTTCAGGAAAATCTGTGCTGCCTACACATATGAGTTGTACATGTACATGCAGGGTTGTTGCTTTCTTGGCTATGGATTCTGGCTGACAATTCTGTTCAGTCATTTCTGGAGACAACAGGTTGATCCATTGGACTTTCTGGAGCCACTGGGAGAGGCCACTGGAGAGGTGACAGTGGTCTCAGTTCCTGTTGATACTTGCCATCCATAACTCCTAGGGAAATCTAGCAGAGGCTGCCTCTATTAAGCATAACCTATGCAATAGAAACTTTTCTAATGCTTGTTTTGTTTCTGTGTTTCTGTTTTTCTTTCTTTTTTTTTTTTTTTGAGACAGAGTCTTGCTCTGTTGGCAGGCTGGAGTGCAGTGACACGATCTCGGCTCACTGCAACGTCTGCCTTCTGGGTTCAAGTGATTCTCCTGCCTTAGCCTCCCCAGTAGCTGGGACTACAGGCATGCAACACTACACCCAGCTAATTTTTGTATTTTTAATAGAGACGGGATTTCACCATGTTGGCCAGTATGGTCTCTATCTCTTGACCTCGTGATCTGCCCAACTCGGTCTCCCAAAGTGCTGGGATTACAGGTGTGAGCCACTATGCCTGGCCATTTCTTTTTTTCTTAATAAAAAATAAATAAGATTTATTGAGATGTAATTCATGTAGCATACAATCCACCCACTTAAAGTGTAAATTCAATGGTTTTTGGCATATTTGGAGGGCTGTGTAACCATTACCATAATCAGTTTTATAGTATTTTGATTACTCCAAAGGAAGTACTGTACCCATTAGCAGTCACTGCCCATTTCATCCCAAGCCCCTGTCCTAGGTTACCAATAATCTGCCTTCTGTCTATATAGATCTGCCTATTCTGGACCTTTCATATAAATTGAATC